ATGAATTCATGTATTAAACATGCAGAGGACATATCCAACTGGCAGCCAGAAGTGAAAAAAAAAGTAAGATGAAGTGGAGAAGAGAAAACAGGACTGCGGTAAGTGATGGAGAATGAGATGATGATGATTGATTGACTTAGCTAATTAATGACAAAAAAATCGTTTCGTTGTTCAGTTCACATATTCTCACTAGTAACATTACATATCGTTTTAAAGCATCTTTACAGAAAACATATGCATTTATTTTCTGTAAAGATCTTTAAAACGATAACGTTGCGCATTTCCATTAGGCTACAGATTTGCGCAAAACTTTTACAATATTTTCCAAATTTCGATAAAAAACTATTGCGAAATGACGGTGTTTCCATCTTTTTTTTCCTCTCGCGATAAGTCATTCCAAAAATCATGGCAACGGACGTTGGTAAGTTTACCTATTTCACAGATATGCACCGCACTAGACATTATTAATGGAAGGAGACGTGTGTTATTCAATCATTAATGGCAGGGAAAGTCATGGAGTTCCTGCGTGTCTCCCTTATTTCTGCTTCAATGTCTTGATGGTATTTCTTTGAAGAGGCTATTCCTGTAATTATTGTTTCTTAAAAAAAATAAATAAATAAAAAAAAAGAAGAAGAAGAATTTAATAAAGAACATTATGTCAAAACGGCCGTTGCAAAACGAAAAATGAACGGTTGTTGTATTTTTAAAATGCAAAGTTGAACACCAACATTTTAGTTTGACCACCCCATAGCTGCGCTATAACATCTCAACAAATTTTCATATATTTGTTTGACTTTTTGCCCCCTTTAAAACATTTAAAATATTCACAAATTAATATGGGGAAAATGTTTGATTTTACTAGTTTTCTAAGGCCAAATTAGAACATGGATATTTATGATATTTTTCCTGCAGTGCTGTGGCTATAGGAGAGTTATTATGCGTCTGAAAAAATAACGAGCTAAAAACATAATCCGGATAGACCTTTAGAGAGAACGGCACCTTTCATATGGATTACATAATCAGAAGGTATTAGTTTACGATTCGAATTTGTTCTTTTTAAAGTGGACATTTCAAGCTTTAGTCTATAAAGGACACTGGTTCAGGTCTCGCGCTCCAGTTCACGAAGATCATAAAGCGGACCTGACTGTTTTATGTTATTTTACAAAAGCACAACGTTTTCTTGTTATTGTAACATTACGCAAATAAAAGTAGTTGCGAATAATGTATTATTATTTTCTGTATAACCAGAAATGATAGAGTATTTTAAGTTGATTCCACTGTTGATGGGAAAATGAAAGTGTTCACGGCGCGCCCGCGTCTGTCTGCCATCCAGTGCGTGCTCCAAACTCCGCACGCACTCTTGGATATTGGACAAAATCGAGTGTTTATTTGTGATAATCTAGCCCTATTATTATTATTGTCCAACCTCCTACTATGAATGAGATGTGACGAATTGCTTTGTTCCTTTTGTTTGATAAAAGCGTCTTCTATAGGCTATGTAGACTAATAAATGTTATAATAGGCTAATGATCATAATTATTATTATTATTATTTGCGGACACGGACCTAAAACACACTCCGTCTTCTAAGTCAGGTGACTGTAAATGCGCAAAATCCGCGTTTCCATTGCAGTTTTGCGGAAAAATCCTTTTTCGAATTGCCTGAAAAACCTCATGAGAGCATAAAACCCTTTTTGCGATAAACGGGAGTTTTTGCGAAATTGACGTGTTTCCATTGAGCGTATTTTCAATTTGCAATTTCAATTTGCGCAAATTGCAGGGCTATTGAAACGCAGCTGACAGCATTTTCCGTAGCTAAGGCTCGTAAGTAGTGTTTTTAAGGTGACAATAGATTATAAATATGAAGATTTATGTACTGTACCTTGAGAATGATATTGTATCTTGATAAAACATAAGTACTTTAATGTTGTAAAAAAATAAACAATTTGTTCTGTTAGATGTGTTTGACTACTTTTTGTATGTTGTATAATTATATCTCTAGTATATAGGAAACAAAGATATATTTACAAAAAAAAACTATTTTAGAACACTCTAAAAAATGCTGGGTTGTTTTAACCCAATATTGGGTAAAATAACCCATCATTTTTTAGAGTGAAGGGCCTCATTGATTAATTTTGCCTGGGGCCCCCACTCACTGTTGGTTCGCCTCTGAATATATCATATTGGAGAGAGTTTTACCGTGCATCCAAGAGGCGCGCGTGCTGTTTGAATATGAATGGAGAATGATTGACAGCCGCAGAGGAGGGAAAATGAGTTTATACTTTAATGATGTAAATATACTTCTGTCCCTCACATTAAGCTATGGAATGACTTCAGATGACTTTGTCACCCAAACTGACGTGAAAAAAGCGGGAGGCGCCGAAAAGCGCGCTGTTTGCATCCCTGCCTGTCCAAACGTGGCAAAAACACACCTAAAAGCTGCTGTAACAGTATACCATTTGGCACTTAAAAAGCACGTCACGACACATAATTCTCCGTCTTCTTTTACTTAAGAATATTTTTGACTTATTTATAAAATGCATAACTGATGCTACAAAAATTAATACTGGCCATTGGGGTGGCCAATGGGGTGGCCAGGAGTCGGCCAGGGGTGGCCATGGCCACCCCTGGCCACCCCCTGGTGGCGCCATTGTGCGACACGCCCATAAAAACCGACCGTTTTTCAGGTAGGCTCACAACTTGGGTACAAAATAGCCTATTACTTATTCATTTTGATGTTTTTTAATGCAAAAACCAAGCGAACGTCATAAGTTGACCTCAGACAACAATATAATAAAATTTAAAAAGCCAGTTCATGACCCCTTTTAAGGGCGTTCTCATTGAAGTCTGAAGTGCAAACAATAAGTGCAACCATAATCAAAGTTAACACACAGACTCTTTATAATTGTTTTGAAATTGCTGTTTTATTTTGCACCGGCAGTTATAGGGTTAATGCGGTGACTTCAGGAAAAAAAAAAGGGTAGAGAGAAACGAAGCTGGTGTGTTTGTCATGTTGTTTTTCTTCTGTTCCGATTATAAGTTCAGAAACGCCTCCTTTGTCTGTTGTCCTTAAGACAATACAGTACTCTCTCAATATTCGAAGTACAAACAGAGACCATAGCCACCCACAAATAAACAGTCCAGAGATGGGTATTGGGAGACGGATTATGAAGCCTAATTTGTGCGTAATGCACATCAGGGAGCTTTTGTTTTACTTTCAAATTGGTGATCGCGCACACTCTGTGTATAGGGAGCATTCTACAAGACAATTTATCAGCTCTTTAGTCTATGTTGGGCAACGAATCCTCCACCATCGCCACGTGAACCGTGATTCGTGCTGCACTGATTGCAACGATATTCTATTGTAATCTCACCCTCACACTCAGTCATGGCGATATCGCGAGACAGCTTTTCACTCAACGGAAAATCTTTGTCATATTTTAGTCTCACGAGATCTCGTGGCAGAGATCTTGTCACACCCCTACCATCGACTTTTGAACATTTTGAACAAAACAGAAGCTTTTATTGGAACAGTTCACCCAAAATGAAAATGTCAATATTAAGCCATTCATGTTCCAACCGGATATTTTGAAAGTAAATGGGGTCAAAACAACATTGTGTGTGTGTAAATAATTAAGTTGAGATGCCGATCACTTTGATCAGCCAATAAGTGTTTTCAGGATATCATTTTATGGACAACAAATATCAAAATATTTTCTTATGAATTCCTCTTTAAGGTCACTTTTTGTGTTTTTGAGTAAATATATATACATATATATATACTTTGTACTAGTGTTGAAATTGTTTGTCTTTTATTTTCATGGTTATGCAGTAAAAATGTCATTGAACTACTGAACAAAAGAAGCCTGAATCAGACTGACTTGTTCATTTCAGAAGCAGAATCAGAAACAAAGCGCTTTAAGTCTTTGTTCCGAAAGACAAGTGACAAGCCTTTTGCTAATTTGCCTAAGGGAAAGTAACCCTCAAGGCTTATGGATCTAGTTCTTCAGATGTATCCGAAGGCAATACTTGACTCGACCTTGTTGAAAACCCAGAGCAACTCACAGTTTATTTGAACTGGCTTATGGGATGACACCTGTATCACACACACTGTATGATTAACATGTCTAGTGATTACATCAATGTGAAAATATGCATTTTAAGTCCAAGTATAACTATGGGAATCAGAGGAAGGGGAGGTACTGTACTGTATGTGACCTGAAATACCGCACCAGTGGGGCTCGACAGCCTTTTAGACAAACGGGTCGGCGCGTAGGGTTGGGTTGTGGAGAGTTCAGGTTACGGAGAGTTTGTGAGATAGTGGTTTTCTAACACCGTCTCCCGTATAATGGAAATCATTATGAACATCAGCAATGCTAATTATTTCCCATCTGCCTTTCCGCTGTTATCTCGGGACGCTTGTCCCGAGAAAAATGGCGTTCGTCAGGTCCAGTTTTGTATCCAGCCTCTCACGGGGATTTCGGATGCCCCACCGCCTGTGATGAGAAGACCAACGCCTCTGAAGAGACGACTCAACGCCTGCGATATGTTATGGCGCCGTTTTATACATAAACAATATTTATATTTAATATTTATTTATATATAAACAATATGAATGTAAGCCAGAGGAAAACTGGCCCCCGACTGAGCCTGGGTTCTCCCAAGGTTTTGGTTTCTTGCCACTGTTGCCTTGCTTTTGGCTTGCTTTTGGCTTGCTTAGTTGGGGTTATGTAATATTTAATATTTAACAATATTATTGATCTGTGTTGTACTACTTTCATGTTATCACTGTGAAGCTGCTTTGATACAATCTGTATTGTGAAAAGCGCTATATAAATAAATGTGACTTGACTTGACTTGAAATATTTCTGGATGTAAGAAACGTGTGCTACAAAATGCATGAACTGCATCCTTGTAGCCTGTTAGACATTCACTCAAGAGGAAACAAGATTTAGATTTCTGTTGTTAAAATTGAACTTTACCACTCAATTGAAGACTGACCTGTACTTTCGTTGGCATCTAGACTGCCAGCCAGCTGCTCCAGCAATCGCGCCCGCGCTGCATTTCTCTTGTGCTTCTTGCCTTCATAGTGTTGCTGTGCCATCAGTGGGTTGTTGAACCAGGCGCCACACAAGCAGCAGTACTTGCCCGCCTCTCCGTGATTGGTCAGCGGCTGCCACGTGGGAGGGGTTGTGTCTGTGGTCTGAGGGGTGGGAGGGGCCGACTCTGCACAGAACACAATAAACTTCTATTAATATAGCATATATGAGCCAATTCAATATCAAAACAAACAATAAAGATTCTGTTGAGTGCAGCTGAAACTACCCTGCTGGCAAACACAGTGATGGCTCCAAGACTGATCTATGCAGGTCAAGAGAGGGTCAGCACATGTGGAGATGAAAATTCACCCCTGAGTTAGGTTACCTACCTCCATCTTATGAGGAAAAAGCAAGCACATAGATTGATCTTCCAGGTGACACTCTCAAAGACACCATGGGGATTGTTACCATGGTTACCAACCCCAAATATCCACAGGAGATGACACTGCCGCAAGTTAGAATGAGCTAAACACCCATTGTAGTAAAACTGCAACAGCTTTTTAACCCCTTAACAGCTTTTAAACTCATTTTTAACCCCTACATGCTCATGCTAAATTAAGTAATGCTTAATACCTTTTTGGTTAAAAGTTTGCATTCTAAAAATTCTCATAGAAACAATGCTTTGAATCGTACCCGTACTACTAATGTAACCTTGGTTCTTTCCAGAAGAGGGAACAAGTCCTGCGTAATATCTTATGCTAAGGGAAAACCTCTTTTCCACGAGATACTGAAGCCAACAATTAGCCTTTATTTTGAATTAAAGTCAGCGTGAAACGGAAGTTGAGATTGTCATTTTTTCCTTGTTGTGACTTATATCTAAGTGAAACGACTTCTGAAATTAGAAAATAAAATGTAAGGCAGGGCTTGATTTTGTCCTTCGGGAATTGATTGGATCGTTGGAGGTTGGGGGTTGCAAACAAAATGGAGGCAGATTTGAATGCGATTCTCTGTTAGGGCGGTGCACAGATAGCCGCACCCTCATCGAATCTGGCCCCGAATGTCCTTGTAATTCGGTTAAACCCCGAACGAGTATGAAACACTATGCTTCGGAAGGTTCGAGCGGTGTCGTGTCGTGTTGTGTGTGTGTGTGTGTGTATGTGTATGTGTGTGTGTGTGTGTGTGTGAGCGAGTGAGTGAGAGAGAGAGAGAAGCAAGCAGAACACGGTTGTTTCTAAAGCACGCATTAGTGTTTAAAAACTAAGCTCAGACTCGAATCTGAAATTCTCTGAATCGATCCAGAATTGTTGGTGGGAGAATAAATAACACAATATCATTAAAAGTAAACTGTTCTTTTCTGTATGCCAGACCTATTTGCATAGCATGCCAAGTTGATGCTTGATCTTGCAGACTGCTTTTCTCTCGCGTCACGTGACCAGTGTAATCGCAGCTTTTGCGATTACAAAAAATTGCGTTTCATCATATCGCGATATTATCGCAAATGCAATTAATCGTTCAGCCCTAAAGCACACCATGTTTATTTTCTTTATTTTATAAAAGCATAATATTTTATTTCAATTGTAGACGGGCACATAAAAAAGTAGACATTTAAAAGATTATTTTTACGTATTTCTTAACTCTGTACGACCAGAAATGATGGAGTACTTTATCTCTATTTTTCTGCTATTAAAAATTTGCTAAAACGCGTTGCTGCGTTGGCCGACCTCAAGGGGTTAACAGTGTTCCACACAGTCAGGGTGAAAATGTTCGGTATGGGTCTTACTTTTGCCCATGGAGTTATTTTATCGATCAGCGAGCGGTGCTCAAGTGGTTGTAGTATTCTGAGCTGAAGCAACGGGGCAGACAATACTGATTTTTAGACCGAAAGTAGACCGAAAGTAGTAACCTTTGAGCCTCTGGGTTATAAAACCTTATAAATGTAGACGGGGAGGCCTATCCTGCCGCCATACAGATATCCTGCAAGGTAATCCTGCTAGACCAAGCCCACGATGAGGCCATGCCTCTTGTGGAGTGCGCTCTAACACCTAAAGGACACTTCGAGCTTTTAGATGTGTATACCAGCGCTATGGCATCAACTATCCATCTGGATAGTCTCTGTTTCGATGTGGCTAGTCCCTTAGCACGTCCATTGAACGAAACGAAGATCTGATCAGTCTGTCTGAAAACAGTTCAAACAGTTGCGGGTTTTTAAACACTGCTATGGCTGCCACATAAACTTTGAGCTTGGATGGGGTTCTGCCCTTGTCCAGTAGCTCTTGAAGGAAGGAGAGAACTTCCGTAACCCTGCAGTCTAGGCAGTGGCGCAAAAAGTGGGTATGCGCTATATGCGGCGCATAGGGGCGCAGCACAATGGGGGGCGCCAAAGCGATGGTAAAAAAAAATAAAAAAATTATATATATGCTATATTGTATTTCTACATGTAGCTGCCGTTGTGCGTTTCTAAATCATTTCTGCATTCCTTCAATGTTATATAAAATTTTAGAGGACTAACAGCCAGGCTAGAGTAGGCGCCCTCATGGAGAAGGGGGGCGGGTAATATCGCGAGCGGGCGGGGGCGCCGTGAGCGCTGAGCGAGCAGGTACAAGTAGTGAGTTGTCGTCGAAAAAGATGGATAAAACAAACTGCTGTGGGGCTAAAAATAGAAAAAGAAAGAGAGAAAAGGAGATGGCATGTCAATTGATGCGACAGCAGCTAAATAACTGCATGCATTGCTGAAAGCCAACAGGTAGGATTTAAAATGTGACATCCAGGCATGGCCATCGGGACTACCGGGAGATTCCCGATGGGCAGACGTGCTTTTCAGCCAATACATTTCATCCTTTTTTTAATTTATTTGTCTTAACGGCCCACAAAACTCATACATCGGCGGCCCATTTGTTTGTTGTTTGTTTTTCTTTTGTTCTTTGCTTAATTGGCGGCGCTGTGCTGGTGTAATGCATTGGTCAAAAAAAGTCAGATTTAGTTTTTTTTTTTCTGACACACTGGCCCATGAAATATGTCATTATGCGCTTATATCTTTCAAGTATAGAAATTAGTGCAAAACTAATTATGAAAGTTTCCTTTATTTTTTCTGTGCATTTGTTTTACAATAGCCTTTATGGCTATTACTATCATGGGATTAATATTATAACTATTATTATGTAGGCCTAGTAGTGTAATGTAGACAGACACTAACTAAAAGAGGTTCAAATTTTTCTCTGTTTAATTTGCACCCTGAATATGGGTTGGAGCTTTTAATTTTGAACTCTCAAAGTGCACCAGACTGCTGAATTTAACATTACAGAACACAAAATTTTCTTACGGGGGAGCATGCCCCCGAACCCCCCTAGAGAAACAGAGGTCCACCTACCACAGTTTTACCTAAAATCCTGTGAGAAACAATGGTGCTGTTCCAATGGAGCTTATAGTTTTCTTAGGGGGGATCATCAAGGTGGAGTAGCTATAGTATAATTGTGTTAATAAACGACAATTTTGCACTTATTTTTTTTCTGTTAGCTCTCATTTCTTCCTACTCACTTATTACACAGCACACTTACATTACATTTATTTTTCCTTTTTTTGGGGAGGGGGTGGGGGGGGCGCTAAAATTGTTGCTGCATACCCCTCTGAAACTGGGTAGTTGCGCCCCTGAGTCTAGGGGTGAAAATCCTCGAGCTTTGCACCAGCCAGAAAAAAAACAAAAAAACAGCCCATTTTGAGGAATAGAGTAGTCAAGTAGACTGCGCTCTAGCCTGCGTGATTGTGTTTAACACTCTCTCCAGGAGGTTTGCGGGTACCCATTGATGGCCCATGCGTGCAAGGACCACAGCTCTGGGCGAGGATACCAAATCGAGCCCTTGACCTGAGAGAGGAGGTTTTTCCTCTTAGATATTGGCCATGGGGCAGTGCTTGTCAGCTGCATCAGAACTGGGACCAAAAAGTGGTGACCTTTTATTCAGGGACAAAAACGCCTCAGCGCGTTGTTGACTGCCATCATTTCTAGAACGTTTATATGTAGGAGCTTCTCCCATTCTGACCACTGGCCAAAGAGCGGTCTGCCCTCGAGCAGCGATCCATTCTGGCCTCGGCGGGCGGGGGCTTTGGCTGGGAGCTTCGAGCAGACGGCTGTTTTGGGCGATCTGTTGCAAAGTTAGAGAGCTTTGGTAAGAACAGCTTCATAGCCTGTGACGTCTTCTAAACCTCAGTGAATCTATCCACAAAATCTTTGAAGGATGATCCAAAGAGGCCAGCTGGGGAGATGGGCGCGTCGGAGAATGCGGCGCGCTCCGAGTCCGGAATCTCAGATAACATCAGCAATAGGTGTCTCTCAGCAACGGTGAGAGAAGCCATGTTCCGCCCAATGGCCTGTGCAGCGGATTTCGCGGCGCGAAGAGCCAGGTCCATAACGCTCCTCAAATACGCCATGGTGATAGTTTCCGGTCCTTCCTCATCCAGTTTTCGGAGAAGGTCGGCTTGGAAGATAATAGGTTAATTGCAGCGACAGCTTACGTGACCAACAGTTCACTAACGTTAGCTAACTTACGGTAACCTGATGTATATATTATATATATATATATATATATAATAAAAATATACAAATATTGAATCTTAAATTGGACACTGGTTGCTAAGAAGTTGTTAATTTAATGTATTATATGACATGGTTATTTTCTGTGATTTCTTGATAAACAGATCTCTCCTAAGTATAACCAAAGTCCTTTTAGGCAAGTCATGGCACTCGGCTGCCATCTTGGCAACGCCTCCGGGCAGCTATTTGGGACGCTCCTATCTAAATGAATGGGCAGAGAGTCAGAACTGCACTTTCATTGGTCACTGGGACATAAAAAGAAAACAAAACAAAAAAACGCATGTATAGAAACAGCAGTAAAATATGATAAAATCGCTGAAAACGTTTGATGACTTGCCCCAAAATAACTTTTAAAACACCTTTTTTCCCCCACAGGTTCAACTTTTACTATGGATGCGCAAGGGTTAAGACGATTGGCATTCCATTCCATGCAGGACACGTGCATACAACTGCCATCTTTGCCATACCGTTGCCATGAAAAACAGAGCGTTGCCATGGACACAGTTCTATTGACTCTGGAGGATAAACTCCTTTAAATCAATAAACTCTATTTTAAATCAATATTGAGTCAAAATATTGATTTAATTGGTAGGTGGCCATGT